ACACACACACACAGGCCGTTCTGTGACTGGAGAAGAGGCAGCCTGCTTGCCGCAGAGCGTGTACTTGAGAAAGGACACCTGAGTTTGTAAATCAGACCTGCTCTCTTTCTTTCTGCACCTTGCGGTCTGTTCTAATGTGTTTTTAATCAGCTTCTCATTCTTTTTTCCGCAGTCTTCTCACCTTTTTCTGAATTTGTTTACTCCTCTCTTTTATTGTGTTTTGTCTTTTCTCTTTCTCTGTCTGTCTGTCCCTCTTGTGCACTCACACATACACCGCCCCAGCTTTTATTTGCATCTGACTCAAAGGTGTATGTTTGGGGGTGGGGGGCCCTGGGGGGGTTAATAAGTCATAATGAAGAAAAGAAGTCAGGATATTTTGACTTTTAATTATATTAAAAGTCATAATTTGATGACGATAAAGTCATAATATTTCAAGACAAAAACCTACCTGTCCTATAGTTTGCTGTGTGTTACGTTATTCCTCTGCTGGTAAGGTAGTGTCCCATCCAGACCATCTGACAGACACAGAACCCCGTTGGGTCTCTGGAGCCTCATTACAGAAAATCCTTAAGTTTCAAAGTTAGGAACAATTATGTCTTCCTATTACAGAAGCAATTCCTAAACTCATGGCTGTGTCCTATCCCACCTCAGACCTGCTATCATATCGTAACTTGAGAAATCTTAACTATCCCTGTAAATTTGATTCTTCAGTCGGCACTCGTCCCGTCATGTCTGTATCTATATTTAGGATGTACCAGGGGGCTACGAGCAATTATATCAACAGCTTTCACTTGTCATCATGGACAAAAAAAAGATGGGCATTCAATTTAAGCCGGAGGCACTAATCGTGTCACCTGTTTATTAATTTATTATTTTTATCGTCTTGGCAGTCCACTCCGGTGCAGTGAAGAAGTGCCAAAAACTGCAGCTCATCCAAAAGCGAGTCAATCCCCATAAACCAGCAAAAATGGTTTCGGTCTTTATAGCTAATATCCCTGTTCATGACAACCGGGACGGGGGCTGAGTTATATTAAAATTCACTCTTTCAATTATATTAAATCTTTAAATCAGGCATAGTTAAGGGCGTGGCCGCTTTGAGTGACATGTGGGTGCAGTCGCAGTTCGCTTGCTGCTAGCTTTCTGCTATGCTGCATCACCCGGGCCCGTCTCAGCTCCACCGACGATCCACCTCTTTGCCCATTTTTGGATTAGGCGCCAGTTAGGCGAGACATGTGTTGCAGTTATTTTGAATTTAGGACTTGATGTATGCCATCCTAATTCATGGTTCCTAATTTGGACTTTCCCTGAGTTAGGATGGTTCCGTGATAGCTAAACTCCGATCCTAAGTGCAGTTATCAAACTGTCATAGGATCTTAGACCTATAAGTGTTCGTAATGGGGCCCCTGGTCTCTGGATGAGACAATGTTCGGGGAAGCGTCTTGGGGCTGCTCTTCATCAAAGGTGGAAAACCGAAACCAACAGAAAACACTTCTGATCAGGCATAAATCTCACCATTGTGCCACTTATTGTGCGCACGAATGTTGACTTCACCACACTTCCTATAAAGTGCAGTTTATAGCCACTTCCCCATGCTTTTAAGTGGAAAGCATCCTGCAGTAAGGAAACGGTCCCTAACAAAGGCAAAGGCGTCTATGAGCGAGGGGGACGCAGAGATGGTAAAAAGCAACCTATTCTATTATGACCTAATTCTTGAAATCTCAGATTATTATATTATATTGCGGTATAGTTGACAGACTAGAATCCCGGCTCTTTGGTTAACTTGTGTTTACTCCAGTCCTCCCACAGGACTCCTGCAGCAGCAGCCTGCACTATCTGTCAAAGTGGAGGCTCAACAGTGCTTCTTGTTTCCGTTTTTATGGAAGATTGCAACCGTTGCTTTTGAGATTACACACTGCCCCATGTTTGCCGGAGGCATTGTTGCGTCTGTGAGTCGAGTCGTGTACAAGCGGTTATTCAAAAATAAAAGTCCTCTGCTACTTTCAAGTTTTTATTAGGTAGAGGGGGGGTTGGGGGGGTTCCCCCGTGTGTGTCCCCCACCCCGGAACCTACGCCTATGCTTGATTCATTTGACGAATTGTTTACGTTTTGTCTTTCCTCCATCCAAACTTGGATCAGCAGTGCCCCTTTGATACAGAGCATATGCTTCTACAACCAACTCTTTGTACTGTGCCTGGTAATTATTTCTTTCAAAGTTGTCTGCCAATTTGTATCTTACTGTTCTCGCCTTACCTTCTGTTGTTTTCTCCAATGTCTGAGGGTGGAAAAACACTACAGAAGAGCTTTAGCCCTAATTAAGCCGTCCCACATAAACCTACACCACCACGGTGGATATTCAACACCGTGGCAATACCCTTATGTTTTTTCACAGCGCCCCTATGTTGGAAATTTGGCTGGAATGGAAATTCTCACTCCTCTTAATTAGATCAAGCAATCTGCAAGAAGTCTTGTAGTGTTTATGCACCCATTAGTGCCCATTAGAAAGCAGAGACGCACTCCCCGAGCTCTTTAAGTAAGCTGCATAGACAACGACATACTGTTTGATGTTTTGGCGGAGCGCTGTGGTGGTTCTTTTTTTTTCTCTTTTTTTTTGTGGACATGAAAGGACATAGAGACCGAGCTTTTAAAGTGCAGATTGTTTGGCTGTAATTCAGGTTTTTTGAAAGCCATACCAACAATGAAATGAGCGTGTCAGGAACTTCTTCTGTGTACTGTATGTGGGGGAACACAAGCATCAGAGACACGCAGCATGGACAGATTTTAATCAACAAATGTAGCAGTCTTTTGTAGTCATCATTTGAACTGGCCTACACATAGTGTATGCCATTAGAGATTAAAAAAAAAAAATAATAATATAAGAAATATACCAACTACAAGACATTCCCTCTGCTGTATCTTTAAAGTAAGACAATAAATATATTTTTCTCTATTTCCTAATCATGATTATTGATATCAAGTACACAAAGGTTCAAAGCAAGGTTTACCCTGTTTACTTTTTGTCTTTTTCTGCTGCTCTTGGGACGTTGTTTACTTATCATATTTACCCCAACCTGTACTCAATACCGCCTCAGACTAAATTAGAGCCCAGCACAGTCACAGCTAAATCCTCATAGAATCCTTTCATACTTTGAAATGCAAAAAAAAAAAAAGCTAGAAATAGCACTTCGCAGTAAGATATTAAAAGTCTGGCAGTGTTCAGGGGCTGGAAACTTTCACAAGCCATTGCACCAACAGAATTCTCAAACCACATGATATAATTAGTGTTACACTCTGCGTGAGATATACTACATTATTCAATATAATCCGCCTGTCCAATTACTCATTGAAGGTGTGTATTTCTTGTACTTAAATTAAAGCCGATACCTTAATTTGTCCTTTTATATCCAGCGCATAGAAAGCACTGAGCCAAATCATCAGTACGACACAATTCATGATGCTCAGTGTGTACTACAAAACACATAAAGGTGTTGTAAAGTGCAACACATACTAGCAGTGTTGCATCATGTTGGACGTGTCCAAGTACACGAGTTGAGAATGAAGGATCAGCAATAAGTCAAATAACTCCTCATTTCAGTGTTTTGTTTTATCTGTAGGTGCTTGTGACACAATCACACATCCCAGCTAACAGTTCTGTGTCCAATGAGCATCGTTTGCAATACACAAAGTGTTCCACTTTCTCTCTCCCTTCGCTGCTTTAATGTGATTTCAGGTTGAAATTCTTATGAATAGAAAACATTTCATTGAATTAGCATTGCTACTGTTATACTGTACGTATTCAGTTAGCTGTAGTCTGGCTAATTACACTTCTACTACTACTTTCACACCAAATTTCTGTTGACAGCCTTGACACAGTAATTACATTTAAAAACTAACGTAATATACATTTTCATGCACAGAAACATGATCACATTCATACCCATGAAAGCACTTGGGCATCTAAATATATGTACACAGACATGCATATTGACACCCATGTTGCATGCAGTATGTGCAGACATACAATTACACCGATACATGCTCATACATAAGCGCAGCACATACAAAAAAACAAAACACACACACACACACACAGCCATCGTGTCGGCAAACGTCAACTCCGCTTACTCTCCCATGAGCTTCAGTGTCGGATGAGATTGTGCTACTTTATTGAACATTGCACACTTGGTCCCGTTGTGATATTGGGTTTGGGTGCGTGTGTGTGTGTGTGTGTGTGTGTGTGTGTGTGTGTGTGTGTGGGTGAGAGAGAGAGAGAGAGAGAAGGGGGACAGTGTTGAGATATGTTGCATAAGGGGGTGCAGTGGAGTGTGAAAGAGAACAGGTGGCTCCTGTTTCTGCCATCCAGCTTTATGTGGCATCTTCCCCATCATGTGTGTGCTTGCATATGTGCGTGTGTGTGTGTGTGTGTGTGTGTGTGTGTGTGTGTGTGTGTGTGTG